CTATTTACTAAAGCTGGAGAGTGCAAAATCTAGTGCAGCTCTGCAAAGAAACCAATCAGCTTCCAGGTTTTAGCTGAACAAGCTGAAGTTAGATGCTGATTGGCTACCATGCACAGCTATACCAGATTCTGAGTGCACCAGTTTTAGACACAATACGGTACAGCAGACTCCTTTGAAGATGCTCCCTCTGGGTAGCCACCTTCCTATTGCTTAGGTTTCTACCATAGGCCAGTTTAGATTATGTTTCTTAGGCCTCTGCCAAAGGCTGGTTTAGATTTCTTGGGCCTCTGCCACAGGGCAGGTTAGATTTTATGCCTTGGGCCTCTGCCACATGCCAGACCTCAAGAAGAAAAGATCTCTTTACATTAATTTCCCCTGCAGACTAAGGCCTGAGAGGGAACACCCTCTTCACCAGGCAAAAGCCCAGTAGGCAAAGACCCTTCTAGAAGGTTCTTCTGAATATTCATATTCTACCCTCTGCTTACATTACTGGATCCACTCTCAATGATTGGCCAAGGCAGATAAATAATCCTAACTTAATACATTGCTACTCCTAACACTAACTACTGAAGACAATTCAATAACAACAGGCAGAAATAATCAATGTTCTGACCTTAAGAGAAACCTAGAAAACATTCACAAAGTTCAGGCTGGCTACAGAATAGCAGCAAATCACACTACATTTAATTATGTAGACTCCAGCTTAACCACTTGCCTTCCTGCCCAGGCCAATTTTCAGCTTTCAGTGCTGTCACACTTTGAATGTCTATTGCGTGGTCATGCAACACTGTATCCAAATTAAATTTTTATCTTTTTTTTTTGTTTTATTAGACAGTTGTCTTCTGGTGTTATTTCATCATCACTGGGTTTTTAATTTTTTGCTAAAACAAACAAAAAAAAAGACCAAAAAGTTTTGAAAAAATTTTTTTTTCTTAATTTCTGTTATAACTTTTGCAGATATGTAATTTTTCTTCTTTGTTGATGTGCACTGATGAGGTGGCACTGATGGCCACTGATGAGGCAGCACTGTTGAGGTGGCACAAATTACCACTGATGAGGCTGTGCTGATATGCGGAACTGATGGTCACTGATAGGTGGCATGTCAGTCAACGCCCCTCCCAGAATTGGATGACTGCACTGTAGCCGTCTTTTGGCTACAACACGATCGGCAAGTGGTTAAAGTAGTTGTAAAGTTATAAAGTAGATTTACATATACCCAGTGAAGTGACTGGCCTCAGGTGATACACAGAGATGAAACCAGGGGCGGACTGACCATTTGGAAACTCGGGCACTACCCGAAGGCCCGGGGTCAGTAGAGGGCCCCATAAGATGCCCCTGGTACCTTCTTCATAGGCTTTTTTGAGTTTGGGCAAGGACACAGGGGCCCATGATCCCCTATTGCCCAGGGGCCGAATGAGTTGTCAGTCCGCCCCTGGATGAAACAAATCATCCTTCATAAGTTGTACCTGTTTGTCTGGAGCCATCTCTTCTTTACATCCTTTCAAAGTCCAGAATATATTAAGCTTGTCTGAGGGTTCAAAAAACACATGGTGGGGAGCTGAAATGACACACTGCAGAGTTCAGTGAGGAGAGCTCTGAGAGCTGATTGGAGAAAAGGGATACACACCCCTTCACACAGCACACAGGAACAGAGCTGAGAGCCTGTCAATCACAGGCTGTACGGTGGAGGTCCTTCCTCTGTCACCTTTTTTCTCTTGGTGTCAGGAAAACCTGTCAGAAGTGATTCATGCTGATAGCAGAGGAACAAATCAGTAGATAGAAATTACACTTAGTGCCATTAATTGAGACAAGTACAAACTATAGAAGGATATGCTGTGTTCATATTTCATGTCTGAGGTTTACAACCACTTTAAGGAAGGACCACTACATTAGTTCCAGACTAGACTAGCCTAATATCCAGCTATATTTACCATAATGGAACTGGGGGGTCAGTGCCTAGGGTAGCAGGGTAAATAGGCGGTCAGAAAACATACAGATAGCAATAACTTTTTATTTATTGCATTTCCCCTTCTCTGACCTCCTCTGCATGCTTGTGACTAAATTCAGCAAGATTTCTTTTCATATCCTGCCATGCCTGAATTGGAAGGAAATAAGAGTTGGAAGAGAAATAAGAATTGTACCACATGGGAACACACTAATATATGACAGAGACTCACCTTTCTCCAGCATACAAAACGCTAAAGAAATCTTCTTCCTGAAGGTGTGCTTTAACATTCCTAAAATAACCTTCAGAATGTGTTTTATAAATACCCTAGAAGAGTATTGTTTCATTTGTGGGTCTTTAATGTGTAGCATCATTAATGCCCCCACCTTTTTAGTATATCTTTGTGTGCTGTTACTTACAAGTTTGTTAATGACATTTGTAGATCTTCTAGGCTGATTAGAACTGGAGGAACAAAATAGGCTAAATTGGAGCCACAAATTAGAATTCTTTTTGGCTTTTTCCATGAATTGAAAGTTGAAACTTGATTGGTGACTGTTGCTGCCAGGTCAATCTTAGCTCTCATTTTTTCTTTTTCCCATGACTTTTGTTTTAGATCCATTGGTCCTTTTTATGGGAGAATTACAAAGATTGCCACAGCTTTTACAGTCAGATAATGTTACTTGCCTGGCTTTTATGCCAATGTAATTTTTTGGGTGCCACCAGATTGTCTTTATTCTTACTCTGAAGATTGAGGAGTCACTCCACCATCTTCTCTATACAGTCTAATTGAACCATAGACACCTAACCACTTTTTTGTGGGGTATAAAAACTGTTTAGGAGATCGCTTTTTATTGCTGACAATCTTGCTCCATTACATCAAGGGCCCATTTAGAAATATGCATGTGTGTAGAGGTGTTTTTTTTTTTTTCGTATGCGTTGCCATGTGTCATAGTATATTTCCTTTGTGCGCTGATATGTGTTTTGTTGCTCATTTTCAATGTGTTATATCATTTAGAATTTAAAATAGCCATTGACTAAGGTTTGTCTATACCCGTTGCCAATGCATTAAAAAGGCATAGGAGGAGATTTACTAAAGCTGGCGCACACAGAATTTGGTGTAGCTGTGTATAGTAACCAATCAGCTTCTAACTTCAGATTATTTAAATATTTGTTGACATAAAACCTGGAAACTGATTGGTTACTATGCACAGCTGCACCACATTCTTTGTACACCAGCTTTAGTAAATCTTCCCCCAAGTTTACCTGTAAGAAAAAAATATTAAATGCACATGTATTTTTGCAGGAAAAAATGTGTATATATTATTTTTTTTTCTTAGTTCATAGCAGCGAAGCGTTCCACTATATCTTAAATAATCATACTACAAAAAAAATATAAACATGAGCATTAAAACATGTAGTACTACCCCCTTAGGGGTTGCCGATGAATTGGGTCCCCCTATAGTCCTGCACAGCAAGTCATTCAGCATTTTCCACCCTTGGATAGGGTAAGGGGGGTATAGGATGCCCAAGGGAACTGATATCTGAGGACAACTTCCTGAATTATTTACAACTTCTTCTTGAATCAACACAGTCTCTGTTGGAGTGCTAGCCAGCAGCTCCTAGTTGTACCATCCCAGACCCTAGATGAACTCCTCTTCACCCAGCAATCTTGAGACTTTTCCTGAGCAGAGGATCTGGCTCCTGTCCCTCTAAGTGAGGTGAACAGTAACTTGTAGGGGGCTAATCTGGTTTCCCACCAGAGTGCTCCTTCCCCTATCCACCGAGGGGGTGAAGGGGGTGCTCACTTAGATCCTCTCCTGTACCTCTTGCGAGTTGGCTGCTGCTACCAGGCCTATCAGCTTAGCTGCTCCTTCCCTGCCATACAGGTGGTCTTTTTTCAGGGGCCAGTGAATCCCAAGTTTTCCTCCTTTCCAGCTCCAGGCTCGCAGGCAGGCCCCATCCCACTAGGCCTCCTGGCAGCCTTCTTCCTCTAGCCTTACATCATCCTCCAACTCTCTACACCTTTCCAACCACCACACTCCTCTCCTTCTTCAACCCGACTCCTGCTACTGAGCAGGCTCCCTTCTAAGGGAGTTCAGTCCCTTGCCAAGCCTTCTGTTGGGGATTAGCTGCGTTCCTTCAAGAGTGCAGCCATTAATTTTTTTTTAGTTTTTGTTTGTTAGTATTGTGTGTACTAATAGCATGGGGAATCTTTATTTATTCTATATATGTTTTTTTTTAATTATTTTTTTTCACAGGAACCTGCAAACTCTTCCTCCAGCTCTCTGCCCATACTTCTGTATAGGCTTTCAGTTGGAGAGCTGAAGGAAGTGTCAATGCACTATGACAGCACCGATTACACACAGCCACACGGATTTTAAAAGTGACTGTAAGGGAAAATAACCCCGCATACTGTCACGAGGGGAAAGGACTCTGGGGGTGAGGGTCCTTAACAACATGTTACACTCTAAATATTATAAAGAAACAGTGCAGCTCTAGAATATTATAAGTTAAAATAGAATATGTAATATAATCAATAATAATACTATTAAATCAAATCATCCAGATTATATCATGATAAATAATATAAATGAAATAAAGCATGAATTTAGGTGCCAAATATAAATGTGATCATGTGAATAGTCTTTTGACAACAGAAGTGTACATAGATAAGTGCAGGCTTGACACGATCAGGTCAACATAACAGTGCTCCATAAAGTTATAATGCACTTGTGACATCCAATAAATCCGCGTGACTTAAATCATGCGGAAGACTGCACGAAATGCGCACTCACCAGATGCGCATGATTAATGCGCAATAAGCTGAATATGAATCTGTAGGAAACTCCCTTTTAAATGGATCTGCCAGACAGCATGGAACCAGGATCCCTCCTCTGGACACAAGCCTCCTCTGCAGCCACACTTCCACTGGGGTCCTGAGAATCCTTAGCTCAAGTCAGAGCCAATAACAAAAAATCCTCATAGTGTAGTAATTAATGTTACTTTATTGTAAAAAAAATTATAGGCCAGATGATCATCCAAATAAAATGTTCAAAATGTCAGCTTAAAAAAGCTTAATAAAAGCTTCCAAAAGACAATGTGGCTGAACAGCCACTCTCTAAGATGGCCACCGGACCTTCATGCAGCTCCGGCGGCGTGACGTCACGGCGGACGGCTCCTCCTTGATGCATTTTGTGCGCACGCACATTCTCAAATAGGGTGTGCCTAAAGGCGGAAATTTTGTCCTGAGCACTCGCTGATTTTTTCGTTTTGTTTGACCTACACTCTAAATATGAGTGTAACATATAACATGTTGCTAAAAGTGGAGTTAGCCTTTAAATCAAACGTGTCAAACACAAAGCCCGCAGGCCGAATCCGGCCTTCAAGACCATGTCATGTGGCACTTGCACCTCTCCTGCAGGTACCCCTTTGTCTCCACCCCCACCTTGTCTCAGTACTTGGCAGCAGAGAGAAGAATAGAACTCCTTTGCCAAATCCTGCACCTTTCAGTGCAGCTGCAGCACCCCCTCATCTCTGCCTCCCCTGGTCTCAGCATTCAGCAGGCTCTGGTAACTGACTCCACTCCTTCTCTGGTCCTCCTCCAGACCCTGCACTTTTTTCTTTCCAGCTCTGCCCCCAAAGGGGATGCACAGTGATGTTAGGGAGGGTGTGGGATTCTTGACATGTGATGTAATGGGGGGTAGGGTGCTCTGGACATCTAGTCTTACAGATACAACCGGCCCTTTGAGGAAAACCATAATGCTGATACGGCCCGCTATGAAATGGAGTCTGATACCCCTGCTTTAAATGCTTGCTATATGCATTTTGCTGCACTGCTCTTGACTGCTATGAGCATTCAAATGCATAATAATGCACAAAACATGGATATGTCGTAGATTATGTAGTATTATGGAGAAATGGAACACATGCATTTTAGTGTGTTGCCCTTGCAACAGTGTAAATTGACCTTGAGCCACTAACCTGAATTAAATATATAGATAAGGAGGTCTGGTTTTCTTTTCCTGATCAGCATCTTGTTCTGTGCCTGGGGTACTTTAAATACTGGGTATCAAACAAAACAGAAAATAATGTGTTTTATATTATATATCCTTTTAAATAATGCAGATTTATTCTGCAATAGTAATGAAACTTTGCATTTCTTAAACTGTTAATGTGGTAGTAAGCGCTGTAAATACTCCTCCATCTATTCCTCTGAGCATTCCCCTATCAGGGATCTAATGTATGTGTTTAATAACATTATGAATCCCGTTATTAGTATTCATCTGGCATTACTCAGTGAAGTATTTATAGGAAATTAGACTTCCTTGCAATTTTCTGATTTCCAGACCCATCCCTCCCGTGCGTACAGTACAATAAAACCTGTGCCAAGCAGTGCAGATATTTTGTGTCTTTACAATTAACCCCTCTAGTGAGTGATGAGAGAAGTGCAGTCTGCAGGAAGAAAAAAAATTCATTGATACAATATAGCAGCATGCCATGGGCGATAAGTAGTATAAACACCTGCAGTTTCATATATATACACATGATTTACCCATTTGATAGGTGTATTAAAAAGGAAAATCCTATGTCACATGAAACTGCAGATACAAGACATCCCTTTACAAAAAAGATGATTATAAAAATATGATTCTTCAGCTGCATATTTAGATCATTACCTTTCTGCAGTAGACACTTTTCACAAGCATAATGCAGTAGATCTATCCTTCCAGAGATTTATTAAGATGTTTTATGCAGGTGCTAAGTGGCAATCATTTAGCAGAAACTTGGCTATGACAACACACAGCATTAAAGCATATGTATCATCTAAAATAATATATATCTTCTAAGATCATCTAACATCTTATATAAGCTTTGCCATACTAATGAGATTTCAAAAGTAATTTTTCATATTTTTAAATCTGTGGCTAAACTCCAAGATAAGCAAATAATGTCTAAATACAAAAGACGTGTATATTCTTGCTTGAATATTGGTGTGCTTTGTGTGTTTGTTCCAGATCTGTGCAGCCCAGTGTGAAACTTTGCCTCTGTGCTGCAGGTTCTTGTAATAAAGACCAGTCACTGCTTCTCTCTCTGCTTGTGCAGGGTGATTGGTCTTGTCTCCATCCCCTCCTTTAGTTCTATGCAGGCAGCCTGTAGTGGGTGGGCCTGCTGGATCCCTCCCACAGCTCTGCTCTCTGCACAGGCTAAAAAAGAACTGTTTCCCTTACTTTCTGTTATAAAACATAAATAATAACACCACCGCAGTACCAAAACTCCCTGACCTCTTTTTTTTTTGGCGGGGGGGGGGGGGGGGGAGGGAGAGTAGACACTCCATGTTGATTTAATTTTTTTTGCCACATTTTTGGATATTATAAAACATGTTGGTATTGAAGGGTTAAAAAGCAGAGCTTGGTAAAGGCGTACTAGATCTATTAATGTACAGGTCCCACACAGAGGAAAGGAAAGATGAAGCAGTTAATGTACAGGTCACAAACAGTGCGAGGGTGGAGATACAGATGTGCAGGATAACGGAGGTGAAAAGGCTAATATCCAGGTCACTGCAGAGACAAGTAAGGACAAAGATATACAGTTGCAAGAAAAAGTGGTGAACCCCTTGGGATTACGTGGAGTTTTGCATGAATTGGGCATAAAATGTGCTCTGAAGTCACAACAATAGAACAACACAGTCTGCTGAACATAATACTACACAAACATTAGATGTTGCTGAAGGGAAATGTATGTTTTTTAGGTCTGTCATTTTGTTTTTCCCCCACTCCATTCTATATTTTGTACTAACATGTTGATTTATTTTTTTTGTATTATACCCAGAATGAGTTAATGAAAATATGCTGTGTCAGTTATGTGTTATAGATTTATACTCACAATATTCTTCTTCTAGCTTAGCCTGGTAGAGAAGGAGATAGTATCCAATTATTTCTTTATACTAACAGCACCTGTTTCTGTTATGATATAATTAAAAGTCAAATACTTTTGTCCCATGGGAAAATAATTGTTGGATACTTGTAACTGATTTCAAGGCCTGAGAAAGTCATGTTCATAGCCTTGACAAGTATCTAGCGAGATTCTATTGTATGTAGTAGATAAGTGTTTTAAAACAATTTATAAACTTTTATTCCTGGGAAAGTGAAACTCTGCTTCTCATCACTTTTCAGAATTGACGTCAAAGTTTGTCTTTTTGTATTCAGCCAATCAATTACTGACAACTCAGTTTTTTGATACTCTGTGCCCCCCACCTTTCTTTTTTCTGTTATATTAATTTTCTTCCCGCTAATAAACTTGAGAGATTGATTTCAACAATCACTGTGTGTATGTCTGTCATTTCTGAGATGAAGTCAATCTCCCCGACGCGTCCGTACCTGAAACCGACTATAAAGACTGATAGCCAGGGGCTATCGACAACCTTTCAGTTGCCATGGTTTAATTGCACATAACATGTAAACATTCACAGTGCAGGGAGGAAAAAGTATGTGAACCTTTGGACTTAATAACTGGTTGACCCTCCTTTGGCAGCAATAACCTCAACCAAACGTTTCCTGTAGTTGCAGATCAGACCTGCACAACGATCTGGAGTAATTTTGGACCACTCCTCTTCACAAAACTGTTTCAGTGTAGCAATATTCTTGGGATGTCTGGTGTGAATCGCTCTCTTAAGGTCATGCCACAGCATTTCAATCGGGTTGAGGACTCTGACTGGGCCACTCCAGAAGGCGTATTCTGTGCTGTTGCAGCCATTGTTTTGTTGAATTACTTGTATGCTTTGGGTCATTGTCCTGTTGCATCAAAATGTCTTGATAAACTCTGGAATTCATTTTCCCATCAATGACAACAATCCGTCCAGGCCCTGAGGCAGCAAAGCAGCCCCAAACCATGATGCTCCCTCCGCCATGTTTTACAGTGGGGATGAGGTTTTGATGTTGGTGTGCTGTGCCTTTTTTTCTCCACACATAGTGTTGTGTGTTCTTCCCAAACAACTCAATCTTGGTTTCATCTGTCCACAGTATATTTTGCCAGTAGTGCTGTGGAACATCCAGGTGCTCTTTTGCAAACCTCAAACGTGCTGCAATATTCTTTTTGGACAGCAATGGCTTCCTCCGTGGTGTCCTCCCATGTACTCCATTCTTGTTTTATGTTTTCCTTATTGTAGATGTGTCAACAAAAATGTTAGCATGTGCCAGAGATTTCTGTAGGTCTTTAGCTGACACTCTGGGATTCTTCTTTACCTCATGCAGCATTCTGCGCTGTGCTCTTGCAGTCATTTTTACAGGACGACCACGCCTAGGGAGAGTAGCAACAGTGCTAAACTTTCTCCATTTGTAGACAGTCTGTCTTACCGTGGACACATGAACATCAAGGCTTTTGGAGATACTTTTGTAACCCTTTCCAGCTTCATGCAAGTCAACAATTATTGATCGTAGGTCTTCTGAGAGCTCTTTTCTGCGAGGCATGGTTCACATCAGACAGTGCTTCTTGAAACCAGTAAACCCAAAACAGGTGTGTGTTTTTTAAGGACAGGACAGCTGTCAGCAACACATCCAATATCATCACACTGATTGGAGTCAAGGTTGGCTCACTCCTGGCTCCAATTAGCTCTGGGAGAAGTCATTAAGCTAGGGCCTCACATACTTTTTCCTCCCTGCACTGTGAATGTTTACATGTTATGTGCAATTAAACCATGGCAACATCTAATGTTTGTGTAGTATTATGTTCATCAGACTGTGTTCTTCTATTGTTGTGACTTAGATGACGTTCAGAGCACATTTTATGCCCAATTCATGCAAAACTCCATGTAATCTCAATGGGTTCACATACTTTTTCTTGCAACTGTACAGAAGAGAGGGTGAATGAAAAGGGCTAAATATTATCTTACGACCTTGGGATCATTAATTCACTCAATGGGTTCTTCTTCCTCCCCCTCCTCTGTTGTAAGAGGAAAGGGTGGTAAATCACAGGTATCACATGGTATAGAGTCGCTTGGACTGGTTCTGTACATGGTTTCTGTGAACTGAGCTGTCTGATGACGGCTCAGTTCAGTCATAAATGGGAGCACTTGCTGCCCAAGGGAGATTTCTACAGTGCTGTTTA